TTTTATTTATAAAAATATTATTTCCTTACAAACAATAAAGAAAATTAATTATAAAGAATGGAATGTACAATAATAAGAGAGAGAGAATATATTTTTATTAATCTTTTTTAGAATCAGTTATGATTGATTTAAATTCTTATGTATTGTTATAATATTTTATATGAAGTTAGATGAATAATAAATAAAAATAAAATGTTTTATTAAATATATGAGCAAAAACAAATTTTTCCAATTCTTCATTCTCACAACTAAATTAAAAATAAATCAAAATATACTTTGTCAATAGAAAATAGATTCCATGTTAAGTCTTATTATTATTACAAGTAATTTGTTATTACTTTGTATCATTTATACAGTAATTATGATAAATTTGATATTTATTAATTTATATTTCATATTTTCTTTAAGAAAAAACAGTCAATGTAGTAATAAGATAATATTGATCTTTCTTAATTAAACAATTGGAAATATACATAAACGAAATATATTTGGCTATTGTTTCTTAAAGTATACACGATTTAAAATGAATAACCATTCAAATAAATTTTACAATATAATGTTTTTCGAAAACTAAATAAATATAACTAGGGTTTTATAAAATTCTGTACTTTATTAGCACGATACCTACAGATATTCACCTAATTGGTAAATTGAAACATAAATTAATTTTATTAATTAATGTTTAAACAAATATTTTAACACATTGATAAGATAAAACTATTTTTAATAATATTTAACATATTAATATATTTTAAAACTATTATTTTATAAGCATATATGAGAAAATCGTAGAATATTTCATAACTATAATAATTATGCTAGAATTACATTACTTTGAAAAGAATCTTTACCTTTTATGAATTATTTACAAAGTTAATATTCTAATCTTAATTGATTATAGTTTTATAATTTCCATATTCAAGGTAGTTGAAGGTATTAAAATCTAAAATATCAATTTGTTAGTTTCTGATAAAATATTGCTTTTAAATTTGATAATAAATTAATTAACTTATATTGTTCATTTACTTTTATTAATATTTTGTTGAATTATAATATTGGAGATATTATTTAAAATTTTATAATATGTTAGCATTTAATTTGCAATAAAATATTTAGTTATGAATAAAATTTATAATGAAATAATAAAGTAAAAATATAATATATAAAATATGAGATTAATAAATATATAATAAGTTAGTATATTATTTGCGATTTAAGCATTCATAATTATTACATTTTTAATTTTTAATGAAATATTGATACGTAATGCGTTTCATTTTTTTTTTCTAAACCTTAATCTTGATGTACAAATGGAATGGAAAAAAGTTTATTTTTACTGTTTGCAGTCATAGACAAAGTATTTACTTTAACGTACAATGAAACCAAATATTTTGAGTCGTGTAAGAAAAAACTTTATAAATAATAGAATGTATAATAAATACGAAATATGTTTTCTGGATAGTATTTAATTAATACATGTTATACATTTATCTGTTTATATTTTTAATACAAATGTATCATTAATACAAATGTCCGAAATAATTGATTTAAATTTTTCATTCGACATCGAGGTGAATATTAGAATTTAGCATCTACATTAATTATTAACGATTTATTGAATCTACGACTTTTTTACTGTTTAATTAATTTTACTCTCTAATATGATTTATTATGCTTTATAATTGGATATTGTAAGCACCATAACAGATGAGTTATGTTTCAGTATAATACTAATACCATTATTGTAAACACATCCTTGATCTCTAAATATATCTGGATCTGACGAATAATAATTACTTCAAATGAATTTCATTTCACTCCTTTTTATCTTTTGTCAAATTTTATAATGTTTCGCTGGCATAATGATAGTGCATAATGATATATAATCGTTCAATATAAAATTCTTAATGTAAAAATTAAATTCAATAGGTGTTAGCCACGAATGTTACATAATAAATTAGAACAATTTTTTGTTTTGAATATCATCGAATTCTTAATTAATATTTAGATAATTTTTCTCATCATAAATAATTTAGAAAGCTAAATTGATTATACTAATCTCACGACGCTCTAAATTTTATATTGCATTGAATAATTTTCATATATTCAGAAATAGTAGTATTTATTTCTCGGAACTTTAATAAAATTAAAGTAGTAGACTCTGTTTTTTTTTCGCATCAATTTCAATTATTTACTTTAAAGGTATGATTTTTTATAAAATTTATTCTAATAAATTTATATACTATGAGTATTGTTATTATCCTGTGTAATTTGTATTATTAATTTAAGAATTCGTTTGAAGAATGTTTGATAAAAGAAATTAAAAATAAAATGAATTTATTAGCTAAGAAATAATATTTTATTCAAAGGAATTCCACTTTTATTCTATTATATACGTATAAAGTTTTATGCCATTGGTACTTGTTTTATTGAAAACTTTGTTTAAATTTAATAATTTTAATAATATTTAATTATTAATGGTATGGTTGTTTAAAAATAATAATTAATACCGAATTATATTAATACCTAATTAATAGATGAAGAATAAAGTTATAAGTAAATTAAAAGTTGTACACAATTAAGTCTTGTTTATTAGTGATTTTTATACATTTTTTCTTCTTCATTCTGTTATGCATTATTAATCACGTTGAATTTATAAATAATTTCTATGCTTATATACGTCGGCTTAATTTTATTTATTGTTGAAAGAAATTTAGAATTAAAAATCTTTCAAATTAATATTTTGCATTGCACAGTTCCATCACAACTATAAATAGTTGAATAATTTATTGAAATAAAAAAAAAAGAATTAATTTATTTTAAATACTTTAATTTCCAACATTATTGACAAAATTTTTTTATTTGTTAAAAAATTTTCGTAATGCATAAAAATGTATTTAATGCATTAGGAATTGTAATTTTCATCTTCTGAATATTAATATCACCTTGTTTACATTTAATTTGCAAAGAAAAACTATTTATTAAAGTGAAAGATACATATTATTAGAATAATACTGATTAATGAAACTTTGTTTCATAGTTAATATATAAATTTATGTATAAATGCATATGAATGTGTTAAATATGATATAAATATGATATTTTTTAATGTCGATAGATGTAAAAAATAATAAAATATAATATAAAGGGTAGTAAACAATATAATAAAATATATTATAGCATTCGATAAATATATATATTATTGTTATTAATGTCAATTGATGGATAATAAATTACAATTATTATACATAATGAATATAATATAATAGTCTCAAAAAATAATTTTAGATATTTTTAATTTCTTTAGACTGTAAATTAACAAAATTTTAGTATATGTTCTATTAATTAAAGGAATAATGGAAAAAAATATTATCTAAGATTTTATTAGGTTTATGATTAAAAAATTTTTACTTGTTTACATATGAATATATTTTTGTAAAACATTATAAATGCACATTAAAGCAAGTTGAATGATTGAAATTATAACTTTTTATACATATAATTAAATAAAAATTCTAATAATATACATAACATTTTATTTTTTATGTACATAAAATAAAAGATTGGAATTGTTCAATAAAACTGTAACTATTTTCAAAGTCTCTGAAGCAAGAATTTAGCACGATTCAAGTTTGCATTAAATGTATTTTTAATGATGCATATATTTATTTTTCTTAAACGATGTCTTCTGTAAAACAATATTATGTATAATATTTATTTTGAGAAGAAGAATTATGAAGCTACATTAATGATTTATTAATCTACTCTTTGTATACCGAAAGTTCAGGAAAATTTGTTAAGCTCTTTATCATATCCTAACAAGCACAATGTATCTAAGTTAACTACATCACTTATATTATTTTTCAATAATATCATATTCAATTTAATAATTATTACCTAACATATAATGATAATTAATCTACTAATTTTCCATAGTACATACCATAGATTAAAAGAAAAGTCATGGACATAAATATAAATGTGTCTCGAAATTTCATACCAACAGAAAAATTATAATCAAGAAATAAAAATTAATAGATATATTAAAACTTTCTGTAATCTTATGAAAAATAGAACATATTATACTATTCATTAGTGAATTGTTATTTAGGCATAAAAATAAATGATTTTATAAAAGTTAAAAAAATAAACTATCCATTGTCAAATATATATATATATATATATGCAAGAAATTTGACGAGTTACATAGACTCTATCATAAATATTTAAAATTTTAATATATGAAATGAGTGCACATACAAATATCAATGTATTTAGGTAAACGTTCATAAATATAATAATATTTGTTAATTTAAATATTTATGATGAAATACAGATCATTTATTATTTATAGAATAAATATTAGCTTCATCAAAAACACTTCTCAGAAACGTATTTAACAGATATTGAAGATTATTTTATATGAAAATGTGAGGAGAGAGAATTCAATTTTAAAAATATTTATTTACTTATATGGTCAGAAAGTTTGTGTCAATTTTTTTTATCGTCAATTAAATCCTTTCAGTACATTTTTAAGACAATTAGCCCCTCCGATAATAGAAAATCAGTCAGTCAAATCGCTCGACTAAAGAAACTATCAGTGATTTAGCAGCAAAAGTATCAATAATTATTTAGAAAATTCGTTTGCGCAGAATTAGCCACTAAAGAAACGCTTTCCCTAATCGGATATAGATGGCCCAAAGGATGATTCGACTCGAGGGTACCATTATCTTTAAAAAGCCGATCGTCCAGGAGAGTCCCGATGAGCTGGAACGAGGCACCAGGGGATAACGGCTACCGAGCTCAGAAAAGATGAGGAGAAACGTGCCGAGGGTTCCACTGCTGCTGGTGCTCCAGCCACGGCGCAGCTGTCGTCTACCCCCGGAGAGGGAGAGGATGGCGCGAGCTTCCCCGTGTGATAAAGTCTGCGCGCGCCGGAGAGCTGCTGCTGGCTCACGAGGCTCCCGCCACCGTCCGACAATGACAGTCTTGCCGCAACACCAAATCGTGCCACACTATCGTAAGTAATATTCTTTTATTTATCATCCTGACCGATCGCGCGGACTCGCATTAATATACTCACGCACACGTGTATAAACACAATATTAACACCCGCATACAAATTTTATACGTTTTTTATGGATGCATTGCGAAATATGCATTATATGTTGGTATACACATACGTGCGCACATGCACGTAAAAAAAAATATATATATATATATAAATACAGTATGTGTATGTATTTATGTGTTAACGCACATGTATGTGTGTATAAACAAACGTATGAATTCAGTAATATTGCACGAAACAAATACAGTTAGGATAGCAAGTTTCTCGTTTCTGTATGAATTTTTTTCTTCTTTTTTTATTTCGTAATAAAAATACTATTATTGTTATAATAGTAAAAAATATTATTATTGTTTTTATATTAGCGAACAATTGAACTAACCATTGGGATAATTTTTAAATAAGGTTCTATTTCGACTTTTACACAGTTGATATGCTAAATATCGACGTGCGCTAAATATTAGGAGATATGAATAAATATGTATAAGTGTAGAACTTCCGTGATTTAATTGAACAAATAATATTAAATTAAAATGAAAATTCTTTCTATAGTAACGCTAAAGTTATGTGGTGTTAAATTAAATAAAATATCTATTTTTGTTAATAGCAATTCAATTGATATTTAGTACGCTCACTTTTATGAACCAACTGCATCTGAGTATTGCGAAGAATATTTTTTTATGGTATATATTTATATTGTAAAATTAATAATTTCAGTGAATTTAACAATATATCTCTATTAAAAAAATATATAATATTAATTTAAGTGGTAACTTTAGAATTATTATCTACACAATTATTTTATTCAATTTGACTAATATGCTAACATATAGTAAGTATAAATTATCAAACAAATATTATAAATATATAAATATCCTTATATTCAATTACAGAAATTATTATTCAAAATGGATAATTTATTATTTATGAAAATCTGTAAAACAATTTTATGTCTGTGTAACGAACACTTTTATAGCAGTAATTTCATTGCGTTCAATCAATTAATGTAAATTATTCCTCGAATAATAAATAAACCGTATTACAGAAAAATTGATTTGAATAATACATGTTAAAGGTAAAATCCTATTTTATTATATATAGAATTGTTACAGTATTCGTATTGATATTTAAAAGTAAGTAAGTAGTTAAGATCAATTTTTGGGTCGCCCTAGGATAGACACATTTTTTTCAAAGACATTTTAAAGGGAATTTAGTTATGAGAAAATTTGAATAAATTTATAAATACATTGTCAAAATCTCGTTATAAATCGTTAAATTATAAGAACTTACATTATAATTAAAATGACGAATTTTCTCGAATATAAAGATGACTGATTTTTGTAATCTAATGTTAGTTTTTTCATTTGCGTTTCTTCTGTACATCCCTTAGCATAAAATTACATCTTAAATAAAATGAAAATTCCGAGATTTAAATATTTTATAGCGCTAAGAAAATAGGTTTAATAAAAATTTGTGATATTCGAAAAAGAAAATCTCTTATTAAAATTGTAATTTATGCTAATTTATTTACTATAGTATAAAAAAATATATCAAAGAAATTTACAAAAAGATTAAACTTCTAAATATATATAATCAGATTTCAATTCTACTCAATATTAATAAAAATTTTTATTCGTAATATTAGGAACGTTAATACATTTATATATATATATATATAAATATATATATATATATATATATATGTGCGTGTGTGTGTGTGCGCGTGCGTGTGTGTACATTTATATATGGACATAATACTGAAATTTAAATAATCGAAAATTTGAGTAAATCTCGTATAAAATTCACCATGTAATAAAGACATCCCGTCGGTTCCTTAATTGACTAGTCCGCTGAGCTTACATTACGTAGAATAGTTTTAGTTGACTCGGTTCCTGCTATATTGTTTTTAATCTGATGAAGCGAATGAGGTAGCTTATTAATTTAAACAAAGAACGACGTTTACGACAGGTGAAAAAGTGATTTTTGTTAAGGAATTATTTTTCTTCCATGATGAGGGAAGTTTTTCTTTTTATTATTATTTTCACATTTTATTCAATTAGTATCCAATAACATCCTAAAACTCACTAAATTTCTTTTTTATTGTTAATCCTGGGATAAGTTAATTAGACAAAAATGATTTTTTTACATAAGGCGTTATTATTTAATAGAAAATATGTAATTATTATTCATAATTAAATAAATCTAATATATGATGTACGAGTAGCGATTATCAATAATATTTATTTAGTTATTTATTTAATTTGATTAAAATTTGATATTATAAAAAGTTAATATTTTATTTCATAAAATATTTTATTATTATTTATATTTATTTAAATAATCCGAATAGTTTTTTTCTGTACTAATAAAATTTTATACTTTACAACAAAACAATTTTGATTTCGATGGAAAAAAAGAAATTTTTTTTCAAATGAAATAGTTAAGATCAAAATGCGAGAGAAATTATTATTATACTATATAAATATAAATATATTATATAAATAAAAAGGAAATTTTGTTCTACTTATCGGCTTATTACGCATTAATGAAAACTTCAAAAGCAAATATGTTCTTCTAAGAATATTTGTGAATTATACCCCAACATCAAATAAAACTAGTGTGATAATTAAGCATATTCATAGTTGTATTTTGTGCATATTCTGTAATGTAAACTATGTTCCCAAAATATTATTTAAATAACAAGAAGATTAAATAGATTTGAATACACTTCTTAACTATCATTATGTTTTTTAAAAGTTTTTTGATTGTAAGCATTTAAATAAAATGGAGAATTGTTTTTATAATTTGTATAGAGAATCAAAATAAATATTAATATTATATTATATTTCTTATTTTATATAATTTTATATTTGGTTTTATTATTTTTTAATTCATTAGAATATTGAACGTTGTTGAAGCACAATGATTTTTTTTTTAAATAAAAAAATAAGTATATAAGCTAAATTTAATTTAGCTAAATTTAATGGACATTAAAGTTTTATGTTACATCGCAATATTATTCATTTTAGCATTGTGATGTTGATGAACGTATTAATGAAATTAAAATCTTTAGTATTAATATTATTATTAATATGTACATTAGTAAAAATTATAAAAAATAATAATTGTATTAAATAATTGTAGAATTAATTCTATGCGTAATATTAATTCGAAGAATCTTTGTTTGTAATATTTAAATTTTACCTCAATACAAGCTTTCCATCGATTTTATAATTACTAAATAGAAGAATATATATTTTGTAGCGGAAAAAGATAGCACATGGAAATTTATACATGAATACATAAAAATACTTTCAAAGTAAAAAAAGATGATTTAGAATATTTTGTAGAACATGCATAAATATGCGATGTAAACAGGTTCGATCTGTACGCATTCTGAATTAAGTAGACTGAGCTTTTATACATATACGTAGTCATAAATTGCGTGCGCATACGAAAACAGATTTAGAACATAGTTTTGTACAGATAAATGCGTTTTTTCCCATGGGTGTTTCAAAATTCTTCTCCATTCATTGTGCATTTATTTAAAAAGTGATAAAGCCGTATATAAATGATACGTTCAATTTTTCTTATACATCTATCTTCTAAGATAGTTAATAAGATTTACAGTAAATCTACATTGGATTTTAGTTATAAAGATTCCATAAATATACAGACAATTCAAATTTAGTTATAAATCATATCATAGTTTCAATTAAGTATCTAATATTAAGTACAACTTTAGGTTCTACTTAATCACATCATCATTGCAACCCACATTCAACCTTAAGAATCTAAAATTGAAAATAAAACTACAATATCTTATGCTACAACTAAGCAGAATCGTTTCTATCTATTATTATATGCATTAAAAATGAATTTATTTAATTACGTCATCATTTATTATAAATTTTGATAATATCCTTTTTATATTTTTTATTATTGATATCTATAATTTGATAAACACAGACCCATACACGCACGTACGCACAAGGGCGTATACGCAAAGGTATATATATATATATATATATATATATATAAGTCGATTACAAAAACTGTTAAATTAATATACACTGATTTTTGAAAATTCTTTTTTGAAATAAAAAAAAATATATATGCAGTTAAACATATTTATGTAGCATAAATTTGTTTTTTAAAAAAAAGATTTTTTAAAAATCAGTATATTATTTTAACAGTTTTTGTAATCAACTTTATATTGTATGTAAATAGAATATAAATAAAATACTATTATGTAAAGTCGGTAAGATTTAAAAATCAATAATAAAATATTTTTATTTTTACATATACTATATTTTTTATCTTCATTATTTGATAAAGATCATGAATAATAAATTATGGTCATACAAAACAGTTTTTTTATTATTGTGAATAGTTAATTTAAAATATTTTCTATTTAATTCTAAATCAGTGATTTAATAAATATTAGTTAGTAGGGAATAGCTGATTCTGCAAAACAAAAAATTGAAAGAAAATATTTAAGTAGATGAAAATCTAGCGCTTTAATATATTTCATAAATCTATGTTCATATATTTCAAATAGAACCGAGTTTTAGCAGCAATTGATTATATTTAACTTTCTCTTACCGGTATTTATGTGTTTCGAATACTAATTTAAGTTTCACATATTTGCATAAAGAAGCGCTGTTTCATATGTATGCATTTCATATATATATATATATATATATATATATATATATAATCTTATGATAAAATATGTAATTACAAAAATTTTAGTTTATAAGAACTTTTAAAATTATATATTTTTAATATATATATATATATATATATATATATATATATATATATAAACAAAGTGCCGAATAATGAAATGTATACAACTTCTGTACAGCTAATAATATTACCAATAAAATTACTATAAATGAATTTGATTTAATATAATGTAAAAAAGTATCGTCTTCCTATAAATATAA